CTATATTGTTTATGATCTTTGCATTCACTATCTTACTTAATCATTACCAAAGAAACTGTGAGTTAAGTACCACCATTAGTCCCATTTTACAGATGAGAAAACTGAGGCACAAAGCAGTCAGGCAGGTGGTCACACAGCTGATAAATGGCAGCATCGGAATTTGATGCAGGAGCTCTGACTCTAGAGCCTCCAGTCTTAACCACTATACATGTCATATATTCTGGGGAGCACCATAATTCAAACATATTTGCCTGTTCCTTGTGAGTTTTCTTTGGCTTGCTCCTTGATCTTATAGTTTTATGTGATAATAACTTACTGATTATTTCTTAGATAAAAACACTGGCTTTAGTGCTTTATATGCATACATTTTCTCATTTATCCTCCCAACCTATGATGTATTATTATCCCCATTTTACTGGTAAGAAAACTGAGGCGGAAAGGAGATTAAGATACTAGCCCAAGGTCAGACAGGTAGTAAAGGGTAAAGGCCACATTCAATGCAGAACTTCTAATTTCAAAGTCTGATCTCTCACTATTATGACTCTGGATCTCAAACTTTAATGTGCACCCTGGGAATCTTTTAAGAAAGCAAATTCCAGACCTCTGCTTACAGATTTTGAATCAGGAGACCTGCGTAAAGCCAAGGAATATGCATTCTTCACGAGCTTTTTAGACCTCGAGGACTCTGCTTTGCCAAACCCCCATGTGCCACACCACCTCTATGACTGCAGCAAGGCAGGCCCAACTCTCGGTCGTGTTTCAGCTGTAGCGATGCAGTGCTGCTAAAGCCTGCCCTCCCCGACAGGTTGAGAGTATCCAGTCCCAAAAGCTCATAGGCCGTTGTTACTGTGTTTGCTCATTACATCGCAAATGTCCCTTCTTCTCCTCCCTGCATATTGCCTAAGTACTAAGGTGACTCTATCAGTTTGGACATCTCTCACTGCAAGTGAAAAACCCCAGTTAAAACAAACTTTAGCAACAGGCAGGGATTCACTGGTGCACTGAACTGAAGAGTCCAGGGGTAACTGACCTTCAGGTATGACTTGAGACAAATGGTCAAACAGTGTCACCAGTAATACGTCTCTCTCCGCTTTTCAGTTTTGCTCCCTTCTGTGTTGGCTTCATTCTCAGGGCCAGCAACTTCAAGCTTATATTCACAGAGATCAGTGATGCTCATGGAAAGGGGCCTCATTCTCAGTTGTTTTGGCAAAAATCCTGAGGCTGAGTCTCATTAGGCTGTCTTGATTTAGGTTCTCATCCTTGAACACTGAGCCAGAGCGGGGAGAACACTCCAATTGGCTACACATCAGGCAAGTGTTCATCCCTGGAGGGTAGTGTTCATCCCTGGAGGGTAGGGGTGGGAGCAGGGTCAGTCCAACCATAACCACAGGGGGTGAGAATGCGGGCGAGGTGGTCCTCCAAAGAGGAATGATGAAAGGGATACAGGAGGTGGAGTCAGGCAGGTAAAAGCGACCCACGTCCAGCACTAGAGCACAAGGTCTGATCCCTGGAGCAGAGATGGCCAGGCCACAATTGACTCTTCTCTAGGGAAAACAACCCTCCAGGATTTTCCCATATTCATAACTAAGTGAGGCTGGTTCGAAGACACTAACAGTTTGGGTACTAATAAAGCAAAACAAAACAAACTTGTCCCTTTACAAAAATAATAGAATATACAACAGAATTTTGAGGTAGAAAAGGATCTTATCGATCTTCCATACCAGCCATTTAATTCTGACATTTAAAAAAATCAACAGAATTAACCACTTTGAGTTACAAAAATCAATAAACCATCCACTAAGCATGCAAGAGAAGAGCATATTTTTTGATGTCTGTGAAAATAGCCCTAAGAGATTTGGAGTCTAGCGTTCTAGTCCCAAACGAAGGAAGCAGATCACTTTGTCACTGTGGTTCTCACCTTCTCCCATCTGGTGACTGATGACACTTCTCTCTGATATAATATCAGGGTCAGGACTAGAACCCCAGTCCCCCAGCCTAGTACCCTTCTTCCACCTTTTCAGTTCTTTGTGGGGGCTCATGTCTTTCCCTATCTTGGTCCTCATTCCTTTCCTCTTTACTCCAGGGAAACTTTCCACCAGTCAAGGGTTCGCATCGTTCGTTCAACCAGCATTTACTGACTGTCCAGGAAACATGTAAGGATGGTGAGAAGGTAGCCATAAGTGAGAAACAGTTGGTGGCCTCACACTGACAACTTGGGTGCCCTCAAGTTCCTTGGAAAATGCCACTTTCCTGCCAACTCACCCCTTTCTGCCACACTTTTCCCTTCAGCCTCCAATTTCAGAGTCCTCCCCAGTCCTTCTCCCTTCTCAGGGAGATTGTGAGGAGACAAACTCCCTTCCTTCCCATGATCTCCTGTCCCATGGGCCTGAGTAACCTTTCTCAGAGCTCATTCCGCACCACCTGACAGCGTCCCTTAAAATTTAACGGCAAGTGCTTAGCAAAACGACGACAAGCTTTACTGGCAATTCAAATCAGGTTATTGGGCACCATCTGCCTTCCTGCAGATTAATGGGGAGAAGGAATGAATCTTTTGGGCTTTGCTTATTTTTAGATCATGGCAAAGGAAACCCAGAGGGCTGCCTCTCAATCACACTAATCTTCACTGTAAACGGGGCCACAATATCATGGGGGACAAGTGACCATAAACAGATCTCCTATTCACATGTAGTAGTTATGAAGAAAGCAGAGTAAAGTCTGCTTGTCCTCACGCTGTAATCACCCCACCCCAACCCCATCCCCAGACCCAATGGGAGAAACGCAAATAGGCTTATAAGTGCAAAGAGGTGGCTGATGGGACTGCTTGGGTAAGAGGAGAGCAGTGAGAACATGCCGTCTCTTCCGCAGCCCGTATTAAATTCGGGCCAAGTCAGTGGTTGTGTTTCACCTTCAATTTCAGTTCCTGAAAAGGTTGGAACTCCAGAAAAGAATCTCTGGAAAATACTAGACAGGTCAGTGTCCAACTTGACGGAGCTTAGAAGGATGATCGACAGGAGTCCGGGAGGGGACCAGCCATGGTTCCCACACTGTGTTAGCGCAGGACTCCTGTGGGATACTTACAAAGGCAGATCCATGGGCCCACTTCCAGAGACACTATTCAATGTATACGGGCGGAAGCAGAGAATTTACTTTCAACAAAACCCTGCATAATTCTGACGTAGGGAATCATTCCGCGGGCCAACCTTGAGAAGTTATCTCCATGCTGTGCCCCTCCCCCGGGCTGACTTTCTAAAACTCTGTCCCATTAGCTCTAGAAAGCTCCAGGCAAAAAGGAAACAGTTTCTTCAAAAGACGAACCAACAACTCACTAGCAACTCATATCCCATCAGCACAGATTTGTGAGCGGATAGATGCCCTGCACTTTGTGGGACGAGAACAGAGTTGGTCAAGATGGGTAAGTTAGAAAGGCCTGAACATCGGCCCCCTGGGAGCAAGAACATACGGAAAGACTGGGAAGGCTGGGGTGGGGGGAGGGAGATGAAGACCCCGGGGCCTACGGGTTTTGGAGGCAAGGATGGAGCATTGCCAGGAAAAGAGGAGAAAAGGGGAGAGAGGGAGAATTGGAAAAGTCATGGAAAAAGGTGGGGAAATTTCAAATGTAATTGCCGCTACCTTCTAGTTTTTTCTAGAGTACACTTTTCAGGATTGGAAGAAACACCAAGCATTTGATTTGCTACAGCACCAGGTATTCAGGAGAGAGGATGTCTACGTCAGCAACATTCACATGAACACGTTAATAATGAAAATAATCTTATTATTCTAATTTTTTGTACATTAGAGAGGATAATAAATAACTTTTGACAATTTCTGGCAGCAAGCATTTCATCTGGGAGCACTTCAACAATCATCTTTATTTAATGTAATTGTGCATTATATTTTTCAAGCTCCCATTGGTGTCATGATTATACAATTATTTCATCACTACATAAGCTTGGGAAATGCTGTCCAAACCCTCCGCTTCTTCTTCCAGCTGTCTGTGTGCACATGTCCAATGACAGGCACTCTATTCCACCCAGAGTGACACCTCAGATTGCTGTCGGTAAACTCCACAGGGTAGAGCATTTTTCCTTAGGTCGCATCCAGTGGTTCTGAAACTTTGGTGAACGTCAGAATCAGTGGTGGGTTTGTGAAACATCTTGCTGGGCCGACCACGAGTTGCTGCCTCAGTTGGTCTAGAGTGGGAAGTGAGAATTTGCATCTGGGACTACTTCCTGGGTGCTGCTAATACTGCTGGTCCAGGACCACACTTGAGGGCCATCGGCCTAACCCATCCACCTCCCTGGAATTTCCGCCTCCCTGTAATTTCCTCCCCTGCCCCAACTCCGATTCCCAGAATGACCAAGCAAGTCTAATTCCTTTTCGCTATAATGAGCCTCAAATGTGGGGCTTCAAACACGCGGCTCCCCACTGCATGGTCAGCTCCACAAGGGGAAAGGCTGGGTCAGCCACGTTTTCCTGGCTTTATTTCCCCTTAACTGTGCTGGCAACGTAGTGTGCATGCATGAAAGATCTGTTGACTGACTGGTGGGCACACAGTAATCACTATATAATTGTTGCTCATTATTCTTATTACTTCTGAGGAATAAAAATCTCATAAGACATTTTCCTTCTAGAGGACTCCGAGAGAAGCTGTGAATGTACTCTGACCCTGTCCTCCATGTGTGCAGCCCTCATTAGGGCCTAGAATCAGGCAAAGGGTATATGTTCGTCCAGGGTAAGATATTTCTAGAATTTCCCATTCACAGGCGTGGCAGGACCTATGTGACATGACATCTCTTTAAAGAATAGGCTCACAAAAGGAATGAAGTGATGAATATTTTTGCCAAAGGAGTCTCTTATCGAGTAGAGGGAAATACGGAAACTCAGCAATAAGATGGGAGATGCGAGAGTAGGACCAGCACCCCACACAGCTCCAGACATCCCGGTAGTAACTCACCTCTCATTAACAGCCCACAGCTGGAAAATGGCGCTCATACAAAGGCCTGCTGCGTAAGCAGCAGCTGCTTATCCCAGCCTTCCCGAGGCAATGAACCTCCGTCCTGTCTCCTGTGCCATTATTAGGGTTCCCACTTCAGGCATGGTCTCCTCTGTCAGTAATGCAGTTGTTTCGCACCTTGTGGCTGGCCTAAGTGCTTCCCCAGCCCAGTGCTTCAGCCTGAGGAAGAAGAAATAAAATGCCTTTAAAATGAACTCTAAAAGCAACTCATTTTTGTCTGAAAGTGTAAGTAGGGTATACGAGAATTGAATGGAAAACTTCCTTTTCGGAACCCTTCCCAGACTCAGGAACAAGTTATTCCAAAGCCAGCACAGACGATTGCCTCAGCAAAGAGACAAAAACAGAAGAAACTATTGCTGTAATTACAACTAATTACAATCCCATGATTCATTTAATCTGCACATAAGAAGTTCACCAATTGGAGAATGCCATTGATCCTCTGTGCCCAAGACAATTAAATATTTTGGTCCAATCCAAAATGGTTACCCAGCCTTTGCCAGAATGAAGTGGTGTTCAGAATTTTATTTTTATAGCCTAGAAAGCCTCCCAGATTTTAACAGGACATTGGAAGCTATCCATTCGTGGCACATCTGCTCCAACAAGATTTGCATATTTCAAAAATCATTAAGAAGCTAATACTAAAACCCATTTTTAACTTTCTCTCTGGTGACAAGTTGTTCCTTAACTTTCAAGTGCTTTGATTTCCCTTAGAAAAATGAAAATGACTTCTTAATACCTTAGACTTTTGGTCCAGACCATCTAGGAGGAAAGAGATTGTAAGTGACATCTCAATTTCAGGCACCTCGTGAGTCCGGGAGACTTGGTCTCCGACGGTGGCTCTTCTAATTGACTCGCGGCAGGCGGTGGCTCTCCTGGAGGGCGGGAGCGGCGCCAGGACCCTGCTTCCGGCCCTCCAGCGTTTGCAGAGATGCTGCCCGCGTGTGACTGCCTGAGGTGCCCGAAGCTGTCCGGGGCCTGGGGAAATCATGGCAGTGGGCAGGAGGGCCTCGACTGTTTTGTAATGTAGAGCAGGTTACTTATCCCCTCAGACCCTCCACTGGTGAGAACACAGATATAAATCAAATAATCACTCAGTTTAATTAAAAACAGAGGTAAGTGCAATAAAGGAGAACTTAAGGCAGAGAAACTGCTGGTTAGGTGGAGACCTGGGTGGAGGGAGGGCGTCAGGGTAGAGATCAGGGAGGACTGAAGAAGAACTTTGGAATGGAGTTGTGAAAGACAGGGGCACCCAGAGGAAGCCACACCTCCAGCCCTGAGGGAGGCTCACTGCGGGAAGGGGACCCCCGGAGGGGCTGTGAGGAGGGCGCCAAGGTCAGGCTGAACCCGTCAGTGGCAATTTCACGTAAGTTATTAATAAGCTTCAGCGAGTGAAGCCTTTGACTTAAATAATAACATTTAATAAGTATGTGATAAGAACAAAATTTAACCTTCTATGAAATAAGATTTATCGACAGGAATTCCTCTTGATCCATTTCACTAATTTCTCTGAAAAAGCTGCTCTTTAATTTCTGTGAAAGGAAAGAAAATACACACGTGTGTGTGTGTGTGTAAATATATATAAAATAGTTGTAAAGCCCTTTATAAAACCCCTGCAAGGTCCCACCGGAATATAAAAGGTCCGCAGGATGAGCATCTCTGCTTTCCTGCCACAAGGCCCAGACCCTTTCATGTTCACCCAGCTTCATTCAAACCATCCGAGCTGGGACTTCAGAAGAGTTTCACATCAGGGTGCTTCACCTAGACCCCGGGGCCCATGGGTCCCTGAAATCATGTGCAGAGTAGCCTGTGCATGTGCACATGTGCGTTTTTCTTGAGCTGATTGCCTAACATGTTTAGGGACTTCTAGGAACAGGAAGCTTCTCACTAAACTGTGATTCAATGAGGTTGGTTTAGGGTAATAGGAGACTGAGGAGTTCATGAGAGATTTTTAATCCAATCTGTTCCCAAACAGGAATGACCTAACCATGAAATATTTCAGGTAGGCCCAGAATATGAGTCCAGCAGTTAAGCCACAGCTGGGCTGCTTTAAATATTACGTCTGATTTACTCACTTTCTGAAAAACGTGCTCATTCCTCTATATAAATTTGTATATTTAAGAGTTAAGTAACCTTGCGGGGGTGGGGGGGGAAGAATCTAAAACACACAGAGCTCCGAACTAGCTCATCCCTCCAATTCTGCACAGCCCATATATCACGTGCATCATGAAGGCTTCAGCAGAGCGGCCAGCAGGGCACGCCCCCTTTTGCGCTGGCTTTTCCCAAGGGGTACTTCACAAAGGTACGTTCCTGTATCGGCATGGCCCGCGCACTTGTGATTTCAATAACTTGACTGTATTTCATCCTGTTAACATACCTTGAATGCATGTAAGTAACAAAAAAAGAAAGAAAGAAAAGGAAAACAGAAAGAAATCTTTGATTTTAGATCCTCAAGTCCTGGATTTTCCATTTGAGATTTCTGAAAGTTGATATAGGAAATACTAACAATGGTGTCAGAGCATGGGCTTTGGAAGCCGGCAGACCTTAATTTGAATCCCGCATCTACCACTTGCAATGTCTATGACCTTGAGAAAATCACTTAAGCTCTCTGAGCCCCAGTTCCTCATTGTAAAACTAGGATAATAGCAATATTTCTCTTCAAATTGTTGCAAGATTAAGCAATGTAATACGCTTAAAGTGCTTTGCCAAGTGCCCAGCCCATGCTAAAAGCTTGGCAAGTGATAGCTATGGGCATAATAGACAGAAAATAGAGAAGAGGACCCATCCAGAGCATTTTCTTTAAGAGGGTGAAAAGTTTATTTTCCCAACATGATAAAAAAAAAAGGAAATCTGAGGAAATAAGGAAGATTTCAATTAGCCACATGCTGCTGTCAACTTACTTGTCAATTCCAAGTTTAGGTGTCTGAAACATTTTCAGTCCTAAAATAAGATGGCAACTTGGGGCTGGTGAATAAATACAGCCAGAGAATAAATACACACTGCACGTCCCTGACACGATGCATCTGCTCAGCCTCCAATCCGATCACCCAGCAAAGCAAGTCCTTTGAAGACAAATCCACCTGCCCCAACTGAATGCTAGAACATGCAGACTAGAGAGAACCACGGTGAGTCTCTCTTGACTAACTCATCTGCTTTGAGGATGAAAAATGGGAGGTTCGAGCAAGCGAAATGAATTTCCAAGATTGCATAACTCCTGAAGGGCAGAACTGGTATAGAACTCAGTCCCGAAAAAAAGATGGCGGAGGAGTGAAAGGGAGTCACGCTGACCTCCTCCCAAAACCAAACTGGAATTGCAACTAAATAATGGAGTAATCACCTGGAAAGCAGTGGAGCGATAGTGGGAGAAGAGCCTTGGTGCCGCGGACAGCGGATTCGACCCTCACACATCCCAACGGGTGAGAATTGCGGTGGAGGCTCGAGAGGGTGGGCTGGGTGCGCACGGGCACTGGCACCAGAGGGGCATTGAAACGGCCAGTTAGCGTCCCCCGAGAAGAATGGGGTCTGAATCATAAACAGGAACCCCTAAACTACAGCAGCTAAAGCCGAGAAAATACAGACAAAACGCAACCCCAAAAAGCTTAGGGGCGCTCTCTGCCAGAGACAAGTGGCTGGGGATGCAAAAAGACATTTAAAGGGCAAACGCAAAAGTTGCAGCGGCAGCCACCCTCCTTGATCGCTGGGTAGAGGCGGCAGCAGGGTGGGCTGGTGCCTGGGAAAAGACTGGTGAGGAAAACTTTGTGAAGAGAACTGAGACAGCGACTGATGGAGCCCCCGTGATAACGCACTTCCCACTCTCCAGCTACCATCTAGCTCAGGCATAAGGGAATCAATTAACCTGCCTTTTGTGCGCTCCGCACACAGCTTGTGCGCCTGTGAGCTGCGGGGCTGAGTGCAGACTGGCTGGGAGAGCCTTGAGGAGAGACTGGAGACAGTGGCGTTGGGGAAAGAACGGGAGGAGGAACCGGGGAGTCCCGACTCCCTCCCCGTTCGGTAGTCTCCATTGTGGGCTGGAAAGGCGCGACCCCAAAGAGGCAGAAGCGGGGCGCGCATGAACCAGACTGCCTGCGATTGAAACGCAGTCCGCACAGGGGTTGGATCCTCGGCCGAAGGGGTCACAGAACTGCCCAGAGGCCCCTGAGGGGAGACTAGAAACGGAGGCATTGGGGAAAGAACGGGAGGAGGAACCGGGGAGTCCTGACTCCTTCTCCTTGCCGAAGTCTCCATTGCGCGGGAAGAGGCCACACCCCCAAAGAGCCAAAAGCCGAAAAGCAAACAGACACCCCCAAAACACCCAGAGCAGGCGCGCGCACTTGCGCCGAGTGACTGGCGAGGGTTGGCGAGCGTGTGTGTGACCCACGCGGGCTGGCGAACGCTTGCACCTGCCGGCAAGGCCTCACACAGACTGGCACCCATACGGCCTGCGAGGGATTGCACAGAGGGGCAAGGGCAGGCATAAATTGACCTACCCGCCGCGATTGCGGAGCAGCCCACAAAATAAGTAGAGCTGCCCAGAGTCCCTGGAGGAGAGACCAGAAACAGGATTAACCGGAGAGTCCTAGAGCTGATTTCCTCCCATTTCCGTAGTCCCCATTTGGCGAGGGCAAGCAACGCACCCAAAGAGCCAAAAGCGGGGAAAACACACAATAGAAGACCCTAAACTGACCAGTGCCGCGAAGCTCGCGTGCCAGGGAGGCCAGATGAGCACGGGAGGTCGCGAATAAGCCCCCTGGTCTGGGGCAAACACATGCGACCCCAGGCAGGTGGGGGACCCTGCCGCGCTGGGAACGCGCTCAAGGAGCTCTCGTGAGAGCGCAGAGAGATCCCAAAAAATAGCCCAGCCCTGACCGAAGGGGTCACAGAGCTGCTCCAAGCAGGAGTCAGACACAGGCATTAGACTCCTGAAAGGCTCAAACAAACAACCCAAGGCCCTATAGGGTCAACAACTGACATCATCAGAGGCAAGCCCAGAAAGAAAAGTAAAGGACAAAAATACTTAACAGACTCTCACAAAAATGGGAAGAAAAAGAAGTTCTCCCCAAATGAGTGGAAAAGGGGACTCCCCACAGAGAGAGCTCAATGAAATAGAGGCAAGGGAACTATCAGATATGGAATTTAAAACAATGGTTCTAAGGAAGCTCAAT